GCAAGTGAGAGAGGGAATCCGGAGCTCCGCACTCCGCCGACGATCGAAGATCAGAGACGCCGCCGCATTTGCCAAGGTTTCGAAGATCAGGTGGGCCGGGCACGTCATGCGTTTCGAGGACGACCGCTGGACCAGAGCGATCACCGACTGGATTCCACGGGATGTCAAGCGAACGCCTGGACGACCGCCTATGCGATGGTCAGACTTCTTCGTGAAAGCTCTGAACGAATGGTATGAAGTTCATCGTGTCCCTCGAGCAGAGAGAGTCATTGCACGTTGCAGGGACGAATGGAGACGTTACTGGCGCCCGCTCGAGGAACTCGATGATCAACGGGAGCACAGGTGATACAGGTGAACTCACCTGATATTTCTCGCCAATGGCTGGTTCCTTGTAAACAAAACGCCTCAGTGTAATAACGGGCACATCCTCATCGCCGTTGACAGAAGCGGTTTCTGGGACTCGATCCGAATCGTCGGTATCATCCGCCAGCATATCACTGGACGGTTCCCTTCTCGTGACGAACTGATCATTCGGTATGTCATCGTCGTCAGTTGGCTGCTGATCGACGCTATCTTCAGTCGGCTCATCTGGGCTACCAAAGAACAATCGTAAGCGAGAAAAATCCTTGGGTGGGCGAACAACGACCGAGACTTTCTCAGGATTAGAAGGTTGTAGAATAGGATTCTCATTTGGTTGTGAAGTATCACCAACCGCTACGGCACTAGGAAAGCGGTCTGGAATGGCGTGAACTGGAGGCACGGTCTGAACGTCACCACCAGCGAGAGCCTTGTCGTCGGAAGTTTTATCTACGAGCTTGTGTTCCTCTAACTTTGAAGATGCGGTATCCTTCGAAGAGCGGTCGCCTCTTCCAGCTACACCAATCGACTCGAGACTAACATTAGCTTCTACAGCCAAACGGCCATCGGTAGGCACCACCAGTGCAGTAGCAACCTCCTCAATTGTTTCCACCTTCTCTAAGCGTACACTCAAATCAGCCTCCTGCGATGTCGCATTCTTGCGTACAGCTTCCTAAAAATTGTGGATGTAATTGTAACATAAATGAAATATGGTGAATCAGGAGCCGCTCGCCGCTAGGAACTCCAGAATTACCGCTCCCCGCTGCCTGAAAAGGATCTGAAAGGTCAAGGATCCGCGATTGTGGATGTTGCGTTCCAAGTTCGAACCTGTCGCGGTAAATCATCCTTCCTGGATAACAAAAGAGCAAGAAATCGAAAAGACCGCCAAACTAGATAGAACCGGCGCTTCCTGGCAAGTTCTCCGAACCTGCTCGTTGTGCTGCCAGCAAAGCTATACTCGAAATCCCTGGATCGTAGCGGGTAGGCCATGTTTCAACTTAAGCTGAAGGTGTCTATGCTTCTAAAAAGATTTTCATCTTGACACGATTGATGTCGTGCCTCTATACAACACAGAACAAGATGACAGTTGTCCCAGACTGGAATGTTCCACGAGTAACGAGTTCCATGCCATGTTCAAATGCCACGTCTACTCTGGCTCAGGGATAAGGAGTTTATCTCCTCTGCCACTGGCTCACTGATCGTTTCTTCGCGTCATCCAATGGCAATATCACCTGACAGCGAAAAAAATTCACAGAAAACGCGATGGAGAAAACTGAATTTGTGGCAGAAAATAGGCTTTGAGTTCCGGTGGGCAGGACAACTAGGGAGGCGTCAGAATTGCCACTTATGGTTAGTACAGGGAAGGACGCCTGAACTGCTTGAACGCGGGGACTATCATTAAGAACGCTTTAAGAATCTTTTTTCCAGGTGCGAGAAAAATTCTCCCGGTGTTGTCTTTTCGCGGTTTTCCCCGTTTCACATGCAATATTTTTGCAATTTGTTCCCCATCTCCTCCCTCGCCCCGAGGCAAAATCTGGGGAACAAATTGAAAATCTTGAAAAAGGTGGTAGGAAGTTGGGAAACGCCGGTGGATGGGGTAGGTAGGACAGGGGATCGGGAAGAGGGATCGTGCCAGAGGAGAAAATCCCGGTGGGGGGGGAGGTAGGGGTGGAATTCTGCGAAAATTTTTCCCAGCGATAGGACGTGCCCTGTGCTAAATACTAAGTCAAGCAAATTCTCACATTTATGATGCTCTCTATCTTTTGATGCACGTCGTCACTCTCAGATGTACTCGCCACCACTACAATATTACGAGAGAGCATAGTTAGCGTTTCAGCTGTGTCCAATGTACGTCGAGACGGGATTCGATGGTCATCTTAAGGGAAACTTTATTTGCCACCTAATGCACCTCTCATATTCCTTCACAATCTCTGAAAAAAAAATGCCTTTCTTTTCTGCGTATCTTTGTGTCGTAGAAGAGGTAAAAGGAAAGAATACCTCTCATGAAGCAATTGAGAACAGGTGCTGACCTCATGTGCTTTTATAAAACAAAACTCGATTGCAGACTGTTGGCAAACTTTCGGTCACTCTAGTGAAGCAGTACAAGTGCAAATGTCATTATGAATCGCATGTGCATGACTCTTAGGCTATTTGACAGAAAATGCGTGTGAAAGAAAACCGATCTCTATTAGTGTGTGGACGCGAATCTTTCGCACTTAATTTTTAAGACTTCGATCTATTCCAAGAGGTGGCCCCTCACTTCTAACGGTTCCATAATCGTATCATGAAGCCCTCAAGAAGAGTCCAAAACTTTCAAAACAACTCCTCTGGAGATGACACCATTAAGGCGGAAAAGGAAATCGTTATCATAGACAGCTTCGTTAGCAGCAAATGAATAGTGAGTACTTCTGAGCATTCTAGAGAACATAACATTCCTTCATCCTTCCCTACACGATTAAATAACGCTTCCGTGTGGCAGCAGAGCTCACCCTGAAGGCAAGTGGCTTATAAATCCCAAAATGTGTAGGACTAATACGCCTACGACAGAAAGGCACCCCTGAACAGACACTGCGTGGCACCTTTCCAAGGAAGGTGGCCTTATAGCGCCCTATCAAGCTGCATTGCCAATCCGGATGCACGCCCACCCACAAATGGACGCCCGATGCTTATGCTCGTATAGCTTCATTTGCGAAGTACAATATGAAGCGAAGGGATTGCTATGAAGCGGCTGCGATGCTGCATGGATATATAGCTACATAGATGGCAGCCGTTTCTAACGCAGCGTTACTGGCACGCTACCAACGGGAAACTTGTCCAAATCGCTATCTGAGTTGTATGACTGAAAGAACAAAGGCTTTTTATCTTGCAACAAAGACTTTTTGGACCGTCTCACTTCGCTTTTTCGTCATTTTTCCACTATGTGGCACCCCTGTGACATTTTAGACCGAGTACTGTATCGTCATGCCCTTAAGCTTTCAAGCGGTAGTGCCATCGGCGTCGGAGCTGCTCTTCACGTTGTTGGGGGCTCAGCGAGGGATATGCTATTGTCATGATGCCGGAACCGCTATGATTGACAAAGGGCTTGATGGGGCAGATCATACAAGCTCGTAGGGCGAAAAACAATTGCAACGCTCATACTAAACAGCCAAGGTTCCAAGATGAAAGAAACTGGAGAATCTTTCGGTGATCTGAGATCAGAAAAGTTCACGAGAACGAGTTTCTGTTCAAGGTCCCAACGCTCACTGGTATTAGATACACAATTGAGCTGCTGATCCTTCGGAATGACGATGCAGAAAAGAAAAAAAAAACAAAACAAAAATGCGTACAGCCCAGGGACCCCGACACAGTGACGCACGTTCTCATATACGTAACAATATGAAGACATGCAGTGGAATTGTTTCACTCAGCTTGTAGTACTAGCGCCTCTGGCTACCATTTATTCAACGTGTCCTTAGCACACTGGCAAGCAAGACCTGATGATAATGCGAAAGGCTCATACAAAGAGAACATTGGAAATACTGGTGGATACGCTCTTGGTTGAAATATGGTTGTCATTATTCAAAAAAAATGAGATGAAACTATTAATTTGCATAAATGTGAAGAAACTTAAACGGAAAAGAGTGCGTATGAAAGCAAGAATACCAAATCGATTGGTTGCAAGAAAACAGTCTTACCTGTCTTCTTAGCATCAGTCGTTGTAGGTCCCTGGTCCTCGAAATCAGACTGGTATAGGGTAGCCTCTGAACTCACTGAAGCGGGCCTGTCATCCTGAAAGTCGCATATATGAAGAACCTGTTGGTGGTGGGATTTGTAGTAAGTAAACATTTAGCAGATCTTTTTCAGATTGTTCTGTCACGGTAACTTCTGTTTAACAGCACAGCTTTCACTCCAAAAGCTATCACAAGAAGGCTTACTTGACCCCAGGTAGGACCCAGACCCGGAGCATTCCCTGCACCCTATCCAATTACACCTGAGGGCGCCCTCAAGCCTTTCAACTTGAAAGTTGTGCCACAGAAGCCTGAGGGTTCATCTGCTGCCCTTCTTATGTTAAAACTCTGCATCACAAGAAAATGTCTCTTCTGCAAAAAGTGCAAGGAGCGAAATTGAAGCAAGTAGCAAAACTATAGCTAAAAGTAAAATTGAGGACGGCATGCCTAGAATAAAAGCCCTAGAAAAAACAATGCATACTTCGTCGTCGAAATGTGAAAGGGAGTCTTCATAAACCGTCGACTGCGACTGGGTCCGAGAAATAGCGGTTTGTTCCTGGAAATAGATCAAGAATTTCAAGGTCTTACTGATTTGGTGCTAAAACCACATTCTTGAGCATGTGCAAAATAAGTGGTGAATTTATAACAGTAGACAATAAAACAGATGCAAAGGTACCTCTTCAAAATGCGTCTGTTGGTTGTCAGCGGCTGAGTGAGTGCCATCATTCTCGTGAGGTGTTTCCATCTCATTGACAGGATCATCCTCAGACAATTGGCTCAGGTCTAAAGGAGCGACGCCGTCACGATGAGGTGTAGGAGTTCTTGGAGGCAGAATAGGTACTTCTGGAAAAGTTCAAAATAGAATTTCCTCGAAGCTTTCGAACAGTGTGAACATTCCCTTTTTTGTTGAGCATTTTTATGGCGTCACTGTATATGGACTTGTAAAACTTATGCCGCAATGCAAATAAAAACAATACCGTAGCACTCTTCAGTAGATATCTTCTCGAGATGACTAATCAGGTTGGTACGTTCAGCGATTACTCGGTCATATTTATGAAGTTGCACAGCTATTGACTTCTTTGTCCTACAAAAGCGTGCTTATTTAGCTTGTAACCAAATGAAAGTCACTGCTTTGAACAGTGCGACACTGCTTTGAAAATTTTCTACTAAACTTCCAAAAATAAGCAAAAGCCCTACATCTGCTCAATATCTCTCGATCTCTCTTCGAAACTCCGGTTAAGCTTTTCAGCCTGCTCCCTGCGAGCCTCCAAGTTGCGCCGCATCGTACGCGCGCTCAAGTCTTCAGCACCGTCCACCGCTACAACGAAAGAGGTGATCCGAAATCAAATATCATAATAGGATCTTCTCACATAATATGTCATCAACTCACACCCCCTTCTCCCTAGCCGCCCCTAGAGTTGACCAGAAACAGTCAGTACAAATGATTATGCGGAAGGTCATGAGGTTTCACAATGAATGACAAAACCGCACGAAAATGAAGACCTATGAAAGTATGTTGTCACACCTTTGTCAATCAGCACTTTCGTTTCTACACGTACTGCTTCATGATCTGATCTCATCGCGTTTTCCTTATTTGCCGGAACAACAGCAGATTTCCTTAAAATATATAGAAATCTTAGTGAACTCACTGCCACAAGTGGAATACTGACGAAATAATCATTAGGAGACAAGAACAAGCTTATTATGTATACAAGGAAACTTGGTGAAACTAGCTTATCACGTGACCTCCCTAACTCTACAGATATTACAGTAGAAAAAACTTTTGAGTCCAGTAAATACACATAAAAAAAGCTGGCTGGAAGCTCGGTTCATGTAGATGGTCTTGTCAGGAAGTCCTCGAGAAAACGAGAACGAGCATGGAAATTGGTGGTGAGCTGTAGGAAGGAATACCTTGGTTGCTCCGGTACATCAAGATGCAGAAGGCGCTTCATGGTGTCGCACCATCGCTCAGTTGCATCGTAAACTTTTCGCTGACGGTGTTTGATTAACAACAGAAATTCACTCTGAACGGTAATAAATTAAAATGACGTAAGGAGCATCCACCCATGAAGAAGTCACTCTTCATAAACTCTCTATCTCAGATGAAACGGTAGTACAGGGCGTTTCCGTGTTCGAAGAAAATTGAATGGGCTTACAGTTGCCAGTTTCTGGGTGAGCAACAACTCAGCATCTTCAACATCCCTCTCGTGTTCTTCATTCACAGTCTCGATCAGTTGTTCGATATTTCTCGATTGTGCGGAAAAAGGTGCAGATCTAAACTGAATGAGCAGGTCTCTAGACACATTGATTTCCTGTGCAGAAAATAAAAATTGATGGGTACGACAACATCACAATGCAGTCGGATATACTCACGGATAAGCAAATTAGTAAAATAGTATCAAAATGGTTAAAAAGCCGGAGTCGCACCTCTTTTCCAGTTGGAGAACCTTCACCTGCAGTTTATGTAGCTTTTTTCGCATTCGAATATAGGAATCTATGTGAGCCGTTCTTTCTTCCTGCTCACCTGGAAAAAAACCACCGTATCTATTTATTGAAAATGTTGTTGTGATGTGGAACACAGATTGAAAAAAATATTTTTCAGCTAGGAAAGTCCTGTCAGTGTTTTTTCAAAATTCCACAATTTTTGATTCTTGGAATATGCCCGTGATAAATCATTTTATATTGGCAGAATTATCCCTATGCCTCTCCGCAAATTGTATGTATACAAGGCAGCCCTTCCTTAACTTCAAGCATGATGATCATATCACAAGCGTATCTATTAACCGACACCATATTCCTGTCAGGAACCCCACCCTACTGTGAAAGATTGTCCATTTCTTCGTCAATGAGGACCAAATAAGCGAAAACACCATAAGTCTTGGTGTAGCCACCCGAAAGTCCTCAGTCGAGGAGTTGAGAGCTGCAACTACAATTCAGAGCATGTCGTTTGGCTTGCTCGAGAAGGAGGCTAGCGTACACTAGCCATAGTGGACATGCATTTCAAGAAGACACCTCTCCACGGCTCCGTCATCTAAAGAGTGTGCAGAACTACTTGCCGCTTTCGCAAGACACATGGTCACCACTGCTTGTTCTCTAAGTCACTCCAAGAAACACGCGACCGCTGGAAAAGAGCGGGAGAGAGGGAGAGACTAGGACACCTCCTTCATGATGAATCCAACATTGTTGAGGAGACATGCCAAAAGAACTAGGCTGAACTTGCCATTCAATCCCCTTGTTCTTCCGACATAGCCTCCTCTGACTGTCACTCGTTATGCCCTCAAAATCTCTCTTGATCGAGAAAATAATCATTAAGTTCGACTACATCAGTCGAGAGGTCATCTACTCCTTTCCCCACCCTCCCCGCTCTCGGAGAAGAGATCGCTGATCTGCCCCTTATGTGGGCCGCTATGAGGACTAGCAACGGCGGTTACGATGCTTTATTTCGATAAGTGCTCTTCAGCGCCGCTGTGCGCGTTTTGAAAATTTTCTCAAGAAGTTCTAAGTTCTAATTTTCAGTCTAAGTTTTGGGCAAAAATAGACCCCAGTCAAATTAAAACGACAATTTGAAGACATGCAAAAGCCTTCAGCTTTACGGTTCACTGCCCATATCAGCTAACCGGCTCATTACGTCAAACGCGTTAGTGCTGTAAGGGTGTGGTACAAGAAGCCATTGAGCTGAGAGGGAGACAGTGGTCCCCGTAGCGGAATCGCACTAATACTGTTGACTGTTTCCGTTGAATGCTATGTAAAAAAAACAATGAAGAAAAAATCAAAACAGCGACAGGACTTTCCCCACCAACGTGATATTTTAAAAGAGAAAATTAGAATGCCTGCCTTTGTTCAGAACCATGTTTCTGGCATGGGTCAAGCTGGAACTAATTTGCGGCTTGACTGGGCTTGGTTCTTTAATTTTAGCTTCGAAGTTTGCGCTGTAAGAACAAAGTATGAGCAGAAAATGCTCCGGAAATTCTTGATTAGGACCGAAAAACAACAGAAAACCACTTCGAGGTTGCTACCTTGGCTGCAAATCAGAAGGGGCCTCTCTGCTCTCAGAACTCATCAGCGATCTATCTTGCAGTACGATTGAGTCCAGAATCGCATCGATATCGGCGTATTCGTTTTGCTAAAAAAATCAAATCACAAAACAATTTGATTTGTATATGATGAATTCATATTTCTCTCTATATTGCTCTTAAACAAACGATTACCTGCGCAGTTTTTATCTTATCCCCTGCTTTCCTGGCTAAGCATCGTGTTGCGTTCAAATGTGAGTGGGTTTTCTCCACTCGCTCAGCGTAGGCTAACTCAGCTTCCATGCTAAAATTCATCAATAACGCCAACTTAGCCTTCAGAAAAAGAATCAAAATCATAAAGCTTGATATATTTTCAAGTTTTGAACAGGAGTTTTGGAATATTTCATAATCAAAAGCTAAAATTATCAGCAAAACGGAACTTGCCTGGCACCTAGAGCCTTTGGTAATGAGATCTCTGCGTTCTTCGATTGCTTTTTCTGAAAACAAAGTAGCCCTGAGCTACGTTCATATCTCACGACAAGAGAATAGAGTCGGTGTACCGATGTACTGCGAGAATGCTCGCCGAAGGGAACGAATCAGAGGAGCGATGAGTAGATACACTAGGGGTCAGATACACCCTATGTCACGAAGGCGAGAGGGCATGGCTGCGTAGTTCATTTAAAGGCGTGGCCGCAGCGCTTTTGGTGGGATATGCAGTTTCGGGATACCGGTTATCATGTCGTTATTCGGTACGACACGGGATGGAAGTACAATAGTTCGAAATGGAAATGTCTTAGAAAGACTAGTCCTTAGGAAGACTAGTCCACTTCAAATGAAGTATGCACCCACGCCCACTCCACCACCGCGATATAGAGGGTACTACGCATACTCTTTCAAAATGGTGATTCTCCTGTTCTCCCCTCAAAACAAAATATGAAACCACCCCTATGGAGGCATCTAGGAGATGCACCATTACCTCAAGAAATATGACACATCGTGGTCGATGGGAGCATTGCTCGAGCGGTTGGACATCTTCTCCATACTGCGATCCAGTGCAGAATCTGTCCCTATATTTGACGTATTTCCGTACTTTGAGTGGTGGAATCCTGCAGGTAGCGAGCGACGAGGTGGTGACATCTCTGAAATTTTATATTCCACTATTTATATTTTGTACTCCAAGTAGTCACAGCATGAGGCTGGAACACATAAACAGCTGACGCCGCCCCCCCACTATTAGCGCCAAATCTCAGAAAATTTGACTATAACTTTGCCTTTATATGTAAAGTGGGTGGTGTCAAAGAAGTCATCAGCTTTTATAAGAATTCTAAAGCTCACCACTATCTTTACTCATCCTCTTAAAGTTCTCCAGTTGACTCGGATCAATTGTTTGACGATTTTCACTAAATGATGGAAAAGATGAACTATCGAAGAGTGGTAAACCCAGACGAATTGGTTTGCTGAAATAATTAATCATCTCATTGCTTGAATTCTCCCAAAGTTTTTTGTATTTATGAGCGCAGTTCGGCGACGGGTAGGCGGAGGACGGGGGAAGGGGACGGTATTTCGCACTTCCGCTGCTTCACTACTTTCGGTTTACAAGTCTCACTCTGGCGAAACCTGTCAGCTCTTGTAAAATTGGGGCAATTTCGTGAAGTCACCATGTTGGAACCTGTCAAGTCTTGTACTCGCCGATGGGAAGCAGCATAAGTGCAAAATGCCCCCCGTCGTTGAACTGCCCCCATTTGCGCTTTTGTTCTTGTTTATATCAGGTCGAAACGAAAAAAAGTGTGAGATAAGGTTCCTCAATTTCAGACGTTTAATGCGTCAAATTAATGACAATTCGAATCACCTTGTTTCGGAAGAGGAAAAAAAGAGGAACGAACAAGCACTCACCTTAACACATCTCGAGCTTGCTTTATAGCGATGTCTATCTTACTGGATACTTTATCGATCGCAGCTAGCTGTGCTTCTGTTTTCTTTCTGAAGGAGTCAGTCCGATCGAATGGTGAATGAACTGCCGACACGCTTTCTGAAATCGAATAACATATTGAGAAGCAAGTAAAAGCTGCTGAAAATGCTGAACAGACCGAACCTTTGCCAGCTATCAGTGAAAACTGCGGTCGGCTAACCGGTGGCGTGAACTGGAGCGTATTCAGCGAACGATAAGCATTCGAATCACTGCTGAAGTAATATGGTAGAAGACATGATCAAAACATACCATGTTTTCCAAGGCAATACCTTTGCTCTCGCTGTGAAGGACGGATATGGGTCATCGGTGTATAGAAAACATCATCGGGACTTACTAGGTTTCCAGGTGTGGTTTGGTTCAGTTGACCTGACATAATAAGTCAGAGTTAGATGAACAGCTTCCAAACTCTTCATTCAACACTTATAGAGTATTTCTAACAAAAACTACTTCGGAGTATGGTGCTGTCCCGGAGTCTCATTTCTTATCTGAGTGTGTAACAACAATGTGAAACTCCAAAAGTTTATTCCAAAAAACTCAAAAGACAGCAAAAGTCTCAAAAGTTTTT